TCGATAGATGTTAGAACTCATTTGAAGACGACATATAAGGTTTCTGAACACCCTCTTCACTGAAGGCCAGGGTTTGATAAATAAGAGCATAACTATTTTAAATGACATATTACATACCCGAGCTTTTACTGTCACATTAATATGGATGAAATTGGCATAAGCTCTAGATTAAATTATCTCATTTGCTACGCCATCACCAGTACTTATGTAGCTACCAAGATATATAAAATTGTGAACCATTTCCAAAAAATCACCACAAAGATTGTATGTAGACATAAGCTTCTAGGTAATTCCTTTTCTGATACATTCGCGTGAGACTGGAGGTCCTGGGTTCAAGTCCCGCATGTGGGATCGTAAATGCTCACTATTGAGGAGTCCCATACTAGGACGAAACGTCTGTCTAGTGCTTCCAAGTTTTCGATGGTTATCTAGCTTAAATCGACCCATGAATTCAACTATTAAAATTTCTACAACCTCCATAAACCCTTATTCTGATCATTTTAATAAGATTAACATAATTTATTTAAGTACTAATATTCTACCAGTTCATACATATAGATATATATTGACTGCTTTTAGATACACTAAAGTCGGAAAGACGAAGAAGTCGTGAATACTCAAAGTATTTTAAAACTAGGTAAGTAAATTTATGTCATTAAGAGAATGTCAAATTGAACAAACCACAGATCTTATGAAGAAATAATTAATCAGTTATTTATTTAAACACATAAACATAGGTACAAGAAGGCACCAAAAAGACATGCGCCACATAAATCATTCGATCTGTGTGAGGGTTGGTACACTGCCTGGGTGCCCAAACCGAAGCAGGTGGTTTTCTTCAGAGGCCACTCCCCGAGCCATTGACTGAGAGGTTTGATCCACAAGGCAATGGAGCAACGTCAAGAGATGCAATCCCATTGTAGCCGGTGACCAATAATTGATTCATACGTTATTTGTTCCCTTAGGATCCTGGAGTCCATGTGCACGATTGGTTTTGAGTCCGAGTTTTCCAACTGCAGTAGGTGGACTATATGTGTCCACCAACCCGGTTAAAGCTCCGGATATTTGTTTTTCGACGCTAAAGAGACCTTGAGAATGTCCACCTTACATATTACGGCTAAATAAGATTTATAAACCATTGTGAGGAACTAGGAATAATATTTACAGTTGGTAGTCAGGGTTAGGGTTAGGAATAAGATATAGGGTTTTCATCACAAACTGACATCAGCTATAATGCCAAAACTCTATATTGCTGAATGAATGAATGAACTTCGCGCCAAAATTTAAGACCTGTCATCGTAAATCTGATTGATTCGACTATAAATTATGGTCTCGCCGAACTATATTTTCCATGACTCGTTTCATTCTATGATCAGTATTGTTATGCCCCGATAAGCATAATGAATGGTAACTCTTGGGATCCATCTATGAACCAGTACTATACGTATAATTTTATCATATCATTGTTAAATAACTAAACTATTCATATTCATGTCCCTCTTATTATGAGCCTTATTTTGACCTATGAACTATTATTATACAATTTACCATTCTTCATATTTTATGGTACGATGTGGTCTGTTTGGTTGATATATGAACCCAGTATGCTTGAAATAAATGATTCATATAGCAGAGATTGAGATTGGTGTTTTGGACTTAACTGGTTAGGCTAGTCAGGAAGCAGGATCAACAAGGACTCTAGACTGCTCGCACGAGTTTTACGCGTCATTGATCCGATCAATAATTCACTGTTCTCTAATTGGCAGTATCGTTACGTTATACATTAACAGGGTACACAGGCCACAAATTATAACAAGTATTGATATTTTGATCATTTGCATTTTATTTTGTCCTACATTTTCTCTTGTACTTTTGCAAAATATTGCAATTTTCTATGATTCAACATAATGTGATAACGACTATAATAATCTATAATTTTCAACCAATAACCTTGAACTAACTTAGTTTTAGCGAATATTAAACTATAGATACGTTAGATAATTAGCAGTGAAACTAACGATAACCAAATCCTGATTGTCATGTCCTTTAACCTTAACCTCTTACAAGCATAATCCCATTTGAGCCAGCATCATACACTGGTTAAATGTCAGCTTATCTATGAATGAAGTATGATTTAGCTAGTTATCTCCAATACATGTTTACTTCCATTGATTCTCAACATCAACACAGGTCAATTTCTAGGAAAAAAAAGATGATCTAACTTGTAATTATACTAATACTATGTATGTATTCTTATTGTGTAATTGTTAAGTAACTAAACAACATATATTTATGGATAGTAGGTAGCAGTGGGATCTAGGACGCGCGTTTCGTTCTATTTGGGACTCGTCAGTTGGATATACCTGCATCTCAGAGTTGATGTTGACTCTGGGACTCGAACCCAGTACCGTTCGCTCCAAACGCCATCGCGTTATTCACTTAGTCACTGAGTTCTGATAGCCACCTGCTTGTGGAACAGGTTGAAGTTATATTTACCTGGTGTTGTTTATCTGTATCTCTCCATCTTTATTTGGGACTGAAATTGATTAGTCTCTTGATCGAGACTCAGTAGCTAAGTAGATAACGCGATGGCGTTTGAAGCGATTGGTACTGGGTTCGAGTCCCAGAGTGAACATCCACTCCGGGATGCAGGTGCAAACAGCTGATGAGTCCCAAATAGGACGAAACGTGCATCCTGGATTTCACTGCTAGCCACTATCCATCTTTGCTTATAAAGGTTGACTTAATGCAATATTAAAGCGGTTCGCACAGGATGCATGTATGCCCATAAGACACTGATCAATTGCAGTCCTAAATAACAATGGGAGGATACAAGTAAACAACACCAAGTGAATATATATATTTATATTCCTCTTATAATAAGCTCCTTATTGACCTATCGGTTACTGTTATATGATTTCCTATTCTCAAATTATTCTCAATCTATTAGTCACAGTTCCTCCAAATTACAGCCACTTTAGGCTAGATCTTGTATAAATGTTATTTTCCATTTTATGGTAAGATGTGGTCTGTTTGATTTGTATATAAACCCAGTATATTTGAAATACATGATTCGTATCGCGGAATTTGATATTGACATTCTGCACGTAATAGTCAGGGCTGGGCGGAAAAAGGACTAATCTTAAGTGTAGGCTGCCCGTACTGATGTATGCATCATTAATGTAATCGTATAAGTCAGTGTATCTAATTGGCGGTATTATCACGGGATATAATTAATTCAGGCATAAAGACTGTTATAACTTGGTGCCTGGTGTCCTATTAATATATGATGTAATGATACCACGAATTAGAGAACAGTGATTTGTCGACCGAACCAATGACTCGGAAACCCGTAAAACCAGTTCAGAGTCCTTATCGGTCCTTCTTCGTACCTAGCCCTGCCAGAACACTAATCTCAGCCTCTGCAATATCAATCATATATTTCAAACATACCGGGTTTATATACAAACCAAACAGACCACATCGCTCCACAAAATAGAAAAGTAACATTTTTACAAGATCTAGCCTAAAAATGGCTGTGATTATGGGAGACTGTAATTAATAGACTGCGTATAACTCAAGAATGGCAAATCGTTTAATAAAGGTCTATAGTTTCAATGGTTGAGATCATGAATCAGTTGAAGCTGGACCACCATGGAAAACCTGGAAGCACTAGACGGCAGTTTCGTCCTATTGTGGAACTCCTCAGCAATGCGCATCCACGACCTCGCTCCCTGCGAGATTTGAACCCAGGACCTACTAGTTTCACGCGCGAGCGCTTAACCACTAGACCACTGAGCGACCATCCAACGGTGTTAATATCTAACTTCAACTAATCCACGAAATTGAGCGACACATTCACCATTGTCTTCAGTGAGTTACTATCTCACAACAGTCTATAGGTCAAAATGAAGCTTATAATAAGAGGAATATGAATATTCATAGTTTAGTTACATAACAATTATACAATAAATAAATATATATATAGTATCAGTCCATAAATGGATCCCAACAGTTACCATTCATAATTCTCATCGGAATATATCAATGACATAACACTACTTTATACTTTTTCTTTACTTCAATAAATCATTCACTATTTTTTTTCCTTTAAATCAAGGAGATTAACCATGTTTGAATGTAATCTAGGAAAAATGAATGATCTAAATCGTCCAAGTCCATTAATTGAACAAACTAGTTGTGATGAAAATAGTTATACAACAAGTAATAATAATAATAATAATAATGATATTAACAAAAAATATCGACGTCAATCAGAACCAATTAAATCATTGAATTATTATTATTATCATCCATATTCTTATTCTAAAAATGATCCATTCAAAACTATTGAACAGATTCAACAAAGTTTAAAACAATTAAATGAGGGAAAATTGAATTCAAATAAAACAAGTCCAACTACTACTAATACTACTAATACTACTACTACTAATAATAATAATAATAGTAGTAGTAGTAGTAAGAAATCAAAATCTCTCATATTTAATATTGATAATAATAGTGATAATTGTAATAGTAATGGTGATAGTAATGATAGTACAAAAAGTATTTTATATGATGAAATCGATGAAAAGAATATATTTCATGAAATTCAAGCTATGGAACAAAGACAAAATATACCGATGCAACAATTAAAAGAATTATTATTATCATCCGTAAGTATGATTAGAATGTATATATATATATATATATAGATATATATAGATAGATCAGTATTTAGTCTTTTTTATACGTTGTTATTTCGTGGATTAACACTATTGGATGCTAATCGGCTCAGTGGTGTAGAGGTGAACCCTTTCGCACGCAAGACTGACAGGTCCTCGGTTCGAATCTCACGAGGCGGGATCGTGTTTGTACACTGTTGAGAAGTCCCACAACGGCCGTCCTGTGCATCCAGGTTTTCTATGATGGTCTAGCTTCAATTGAATCATGATCTCAATTATGTTGTTATTCGTTTGTTGGGTGAGTCTATAATTTATGGACGACCTTTGGGTGACGCTAGGCTGACCTTGAGACTGTTCATCTAATAACTAGGACTAAATGAGGGTCATAAACCTGTGTGAGGAATTCGAATTATGATTTACAGTTGATGACTAAGGTTAGGAATTAGATTTAAGGTTTTTCATCACGAACTGACATCAGTTATAATGTCAAAATAGTATTTAACCAAATGAGTGAATAAATTTCGCGTCAAAACCCGAGACCTGTTTTCTTATATCTGATTGGTTCATCCATAAACTATAATCTCGCCGTTTGATGAACTCGAAAAATAATGTGTACAGAGAAACAGGAATCCTTGACAAACTAAGAAATCTGTTTTGGGGGGACGTTATTTCATTTGATTCAAAGCTTATAAAACAGTAACATTTCTTTTTGTCCCTAGTCTATTCTACAGAACATAAGCTGTCGTTTAATGTATGATTTACTGCCATAGCCATTTTTGTTTCAAAGATATTGTACGTTAAACGTAATCTTTTGTACGCCGTTTTCTACTCTGATTCCCAGCTTCGGTCTGATTAGTTATCTATATATTCGTGTATCTTTTTACACTAATCTGAAATCGGCAAGTAGATTGGGATTGGGAATAAATCGTGTAGCGTCCTAGTTGACTTGTCTTCTCTCACTCGCATGCTTGTCAGCCAATCAGGCTATATACTATAGTTTTCATCTCTCTACCCAATTTATTTATTTTTATTTATTTTACCACAAAGATATTGGTACAAAGAGGCAGCAATTAGATATGAGTCACATAAGTCACTCGATTTGTGTGAGGGTTGGTACACTTTCCAGGTGCCCAAACCGAAGCAGGTGGTTTTCTTCAGAGACCACTCCCCGAGCTATTGACTGAAGGTTTGATCCACAAGGCAGTGGAGCAACGTCAAGAGATGCAATCCCATGATAGTCGGTGACCAATAATTGGTTCGTACGCCATTTGTTCACTTAGGATCCTGGAGCCCATATGCATGATTGCTTTTGAATCAGAGTTTTCCAACTCCGGTAAGTGGACTCCCCGTGTCCACCAAGCGGGTGAAAGCGCCGGACATTTGTTTTTCGTCCTCTCAATTTCGTAAACAACACCCTCGCTGTGAGAAGGCAGTGAGTAGGACTTCCCTGGCAGAGGCTATATAGGCGTGGCCATGTGAGAGCATTTGGAGAGGGAGAGCAGACTCTCCCCAGGTAGTTGGTGTCACTTCGAATTCACGCATACTAGTTTCAATGTTAAGCTAGTCAGCCTATCTCGTCAAGGTCTTAATCTAGGTTAGACAAGCTATCCTCTGCACAAAAATATTGGATACTACTGAATTGATAATCTCTGTATATAGTTACATGTTTTGACATTTAATATCAAACTCCGGATGAACTCTGTATAACATGAAGTTGATAAAATTCAACTTTATTTGTAACCACCTCATACTTCTTTACATTTCAGAAATCATTTATTTTAGTGATTATATGAAAAATATTATTATCTTTTTATTCTTTCAAGCGTGATGGAATGAAAGATTTTATGGCTTTTCTAGTGACAACTAATGGAATACATCTTGTTGATTTTTGGTTAGATTGTGAAGCCATTAAAATGATTTCATCTATGCAGAATTCAAGTTATGAAAGTATTAAATTAAAATTTACTTTATTACGGTAATTCATAAATCTGTTTTTTATTGAGATCATGAACTGATCAATGTTAGACAACTATTAAGAATCTGAAAGCACTAGATAGTTGCTTCATCCTAGTATGGAACTTCTCGACAGTGCGTTTTCACGATCCCGCATACAGAAATAGAACCCAGGACATTCGGTCTCGCGCGCGAACGTTTAATTTCCAGACCACTGAACCGGTATTCAACGGTGTACATGTCTAACTTTAACCACTCCGTCATATTGCGCGATCATCTTCCATTGTCTGAGGTAGATACTTGTCTCCATCTGACATGGATTAGATTCACTGGTCACGGCTTCTCACTAGAACTTCGAGAATTACCTCCCGAAGCCAGTTACTAAGGAACACATGATATGTATTGGTATAGGTTTATGGAGATTGTTGACTTTTTATTGATACCATGAAGATCAGATCATTGAAATCAGTGCTTACAGATTGTCAATGGTCGTCTAACATTGATCCATCCATCATCTCAATCAAACCTTAACTTTATCCATAACCCTATACTGATAGTTTACGATTTATTTCAATGAAAGAGAAAAAAACGTTTCAAAAATTTTATACAATCAGTTTCCTTGATAAATCTAAACGGTTGTAAAACGACAAGGTTTGCAGAGTACAATGAATCCATTCTATTTAATGGTCCTCCGATCAGTTGGAAACAGCCTGAAATTACAAAAGTTACTATGATTATAATTATAAACAAAGGTCTAATTTACTTTAGTCGGTGAATTTGAAATGAACGTTATCTTGTAAACGTTACATAACAGATACCTCTGCACAATTGAGTAAAATATATATTTGGTTGGTTTCTTAATTGTTTTAAATGTATATCTGTTATAGACTATATCTCTATTCTCTATCAGGTGAATGGTGACTGCATTTATGAAGGCTTTATTGTCTTTTAAGCATAGGTTACTCGAAAACTGATTAGAAAACCTGGTAGAAATCCTTTTGCCTGCCGTTCGTGTTTACCTGCTGCCCTTTACTTACTTACTTGTTTACTCCTGTTACCCCCCATGGACGAGCATAAGCTGCCTAACAGGGTTCTCCAGGTTTATGTAAATTCATATATGAATTTGGAGGTGATATTGAAAAGAACCATCTGAAAATAGATGCCCAAAAATAATTATTCTGAAATCTAGAAAGGAATATCCTAAAAGTCATAGACAACCGATTGTTTTCAGGAAGCCTGTCACTATCTATATTTAATTTAGAGGAAATAAAAATTTCGGGAAGAATTAATGAACGAATCCGGATGTCACTGAGAAAAAGCTTTCCTAATGTTCAGTTTTTCTCACTATCTAACATTAGTTATTCGTTAAGCCAATCAAAAGTAGATCAATACGCTTCTGATGTTAGAGTTGTATTATTCATAAATAATAACTTTTCCATACTCATAAACCAGATAATGTCTTCAAATATTCTTATTCCCCAGAGGGAAATAAAGCACAGAGTGTAGTAATCCTATTCGTTATATAGGTATGTTATTGTTCACTGTAATCTATTAGTTAATAATATATTCCATTTGGTTACATTTTAGTGGCCCGGAATCTGATTCCAATTAGATCATATGAGTGTTATTGAAGTACACATGTCGTCTATCCTCCTATAAAATTATCGACTTAATTCGCATTAGTGTATAACGGAATTAAATAAGTCAAATACGAGAATGAAGTTTTGAATACGTATATTTTGTATACATTGATCGGGGCAGACAATCAGAGGGACGAAGGGAAGAGAAGAGAGCAAAGCGAAATGACACGCGGTGGAGGTGTATGAGCCAACTCCCACAGTCTAGATGACTTGATTGAAATGCTGAGGTGGGTTGTGCTCGGGTCGTGATTTAATCGACACCTTGCACGCATATTGCGACTACAGGATATCTGTGGCCTTGCTTGTTCGAGGGTTAACTTTTCATCTATCACAGTGCACATTAAGTAGTAGATTTGATGTGTGCCTACCAGCGTGTATACCTGCATATCAACGCGGGTTATAAACAGTCTTCTAACCAGCTAGGAATTTAAGAAAAACTATCCACAATATCTGATTTGTTTAACAACTTTAAATACCAAGAGTTTTTATTCAGGAGAGTTTACGTAATCAAATAAATGTATGAAATATTCACATTTTAACACCGTATCACTTGTCACTAATATAATCTAAAATAAACATTTGATGGTCAAATTCAGCGCTGTACTCCACTTAACTATTACATGAACCACTTAATGGAATGGAAGTTAACAATTAGGCTTCCTGTATTCACTGTAAAAACTCTCAATTATAAACCATAGCTGACGAAAGGCATTCATAACTACTTAAATAAACTAAAATAACAACAAATTCTAAATAAGTAAAGATGGATTGTGGCTAGTACTGGAATCTAGGACGCGCGTTTCGTCTTATTTGAGACTCGTCAGCTGAATGTACCTGGGAAGATACAAGTAAACAACATCTAGTGAACACAGTCTATAGTTTGATTTATATAATCCTTCATCATAGTTTTTAATGTCTTTCTTTAGTGACCTTGAAAATCGATCAAAAGCATTTCGTTAATTTAGGAATTGCTCAATCTCATCCCTATATTATATTCTTACCTAAATATAATTAAGATCTAAATTCACTTAGTATTATTTGCTTGGATCTTCCAATTGTTATTAAGGACTGTAATTGATCAGTCTCTTATTAGCATATGTGCATCCTGTACGAACTGTCTCAATATTGCCTTAAGTCACAAGCTTTATAAGCAAAGATGGATAGTGGCTAGCAGTGGAATTCAGGATGCACGTTTCGTTCTATTTGGGACTCATCGGTTGGATGTACCTGCATCTCGGAGTTGATGTTCACTCTGGGACTCAAACCCAATACCGTTCACTTCAAACGCCATCACGTTATCCATTTGGCTAATGAGTTCTGAAAGGAACCTGCTTTTGAAATAGGCTGAAGTCTTAAAATTTTTTGACGCTATTTGCTTGTATCTTCCGTTTGTTATTAAGGACTGTAATTGATCAGTCTCTTATTAGCATATGTGCATCCTGTACGAACTGTCTCAATATTGCCTTAAGTCACAAGCTTTATAAGCAAAGATGGATAGTGGCTAGCAGTGGAATTCAGGATGCACGTTTCGTCCTACTTTGAACTCGTCAACTGAATGTACCTGAGAAGATAGATACAAGTAAACAATACTATGTGAACAAAATCTATCGTTTGATTTATATGTTCCTTCATTACAGTTTTTCTTTCTTGATATCTATTGTTTAGTGATCTTGAAGATCGTTACCTTCTTCAATTAACATCTAAAGCACGTGAAAAATTATTTACATCAATAAATACAATTTCTGATTATTTTCTAATAAATCGTCATGATAAAAATAATAATCCGAATGAATCTTATTTATATCAACTTGGTAATATGATGTTTGATTGTGTACAATATGATTGTTTACGTCGTTTAAGATATTATTGGTTACCAAGATGGTTATTACATTGGGAAAGAATAATCAATAATTGTCAATTTTTACCAAATCAATATGGTGGTTCTAATTTATTTTATATACCATCATATTGTTCATTAATTAGATCAAATCATACATTATCATCTAATGCATATACAGAAAATATATCAATAAATAGTTCTGATATTGAACAAGATAATGATCTTGATCTTATGGATCATTACAATCATCATAATGATCATGATTCTAATGGTCAATATGAAGAATATCAATCTAATGAAGTATTTAAAGATAATGATCCTTCTATAAATTGTCATAGTTCATTACAAACAACTGAAAAAACAATAAAGGTATCTAATGATGAAAAATCCTGGAATAAAGAAATCTATGATCTAATTATTAAAAATGCTTTAACAAAAAATGGTCTTATTCAATCAGATCATAATAGAGACATATTAAGAAATATGCCAAAACAACGTTTATTATCATATGCTCCATCATCTACATTGAACTCATCTCATAGAAATATAAAATTATCTCGAATGTCCAGTAGTACTACTACAACCAGTACTACCAGTACTACTCCAACTAAATATACATCAACTATACCATTCTTTAAACGATTAAATATATCATGGACAATACCCTATGATCCAAATGATGTGATTGGTTTAAAATTATATCCTGGTTTAAAATGGGAACATTTAAAAAAAATCAATAATTGTCAATTATTATCCTCCTCCTCGATACAAATGGATATAATCAATAATTCAATCAATTATAATCATTCCATTATAATTGATTCATTGATATCTACATTAGGAATAAATAATAATGATCATCCTAATGAGAATCATAAAATGACATCATCATTTAAACAAGATTTCATCAATAGGAAAAAGATGGAATCTTCTTCAAATAGAGGAAAACTAACTTCATTCATTCATTTAAAAGAAAAGAAAAGTTCAATGGAAGAAATATTAAAGAAAAAATGTTTAATAGCAATACATGGTGATGCAGCATCTGGTGGTCCATTTCAATTTTATTTAGAAAGGTAAATTTAGGCAAGACACTAATTTATGGACGAGCCAATCAGAAGGGTTTTAAAGATTTCAAGGTTACGGCGCCAACTTCAGTGCTTAATGCTAACATACAATCGGTCCACAGGGAATTTTGTACAAAATGTGATAATTGAGCGGCTATAACAAATAAAACGGCGAGACTATAATTTGTGGACGAATCAATCAGGTATAAGATAATAGATCTCGGATTTTAACGCGAAAACCTTTCATCCATTTGGCTAAACAGATTTCTGGCATTATAGCTGATGTCAGTTTGTGATGAAAACCCTATATATATATATATGATTTTTAACTATGGCAAATTACGACAATTATCGCGAACTGGATAATAAAAGCACTAGTAACACTGGCTGCAGCCAGGTACTACAATATATACGGATGTTTGGAGAGCGTACAGACTCCTACATAGGCTTGGTTATGTGCATTGTGTCGTTATCCACAAGTAGCATTTTGTGCACTTAACAATCGGAGTGCACATAAACAATATTGAAGCTGTGTAGTCGAGGCTGAAAGAGTTTTCGAGACTTAATCATGGCTCCGGAGGCCTACTATTTCTACTGCATGCATTGGGATTTTAGATCCTCTGAACGCCTTTCCAACCTTGACAAGTTTTTGAACCACGTATAAGAAGTTTATCCATTTTATTTCCATGGTTTTGTATCACATATTTTTACTCTATACTTTCTGTTTGCTGACTGGCTAATATTTCTCAAGGTCACTTAAGATTCGTTCTAAGTTCGTTCATAAATTAGAGTCTCGCCGTAAATTTGAAATAAATGTAAGGTATATACATGTTATATTGAAGATTGTGAATAGGTGTAATGACAAAGATTATTACTTATATTCACTTGATATTTTGTTTGCTTGAATCTTCCTATGCGAACTGTTTCGACAATGTCTTAGATTATAAGCATTAGAAGCAAAGATGAATTGTGATTAGCAGTAGAATCCAGGATGTGCGTTTCATCCTATTTGGGACTCGTCAACTAGATGTACCTACATCTTGGAGTTGATGTCTCCTCCGGCACTTGATCTCAGTACCGTTCGCTTCAAACGCCATCACGTTATCCATAAGATACAAGCAAATAATACCAAGTGAATTTAAATTTCACCTCATTGCACAAGCAGGTGGCTATCAAGACTTAGTAGCTGAGTGGATAATGCGAAGGAGTGTGAAGAGAATGGTGTTGGGTTCGAGTCCTGAAGTAGACATCAACACTGAGATGCAGGTATATCTAACTGAAAAGTCCCAAATAGGACGAAATGCGCATCCTGAATTCCACTGCTAGCCACTATCCATCTTTGTTTATAAAGATTGTTACTTGTTGATCAAGTAATGCAAACCAGTTGGTGATAATAACTGTTAGAGATATTTTCATGAGTAATTTTCTGGTTAGCGCTTTTTTAGCGAGTTAGTTTTCTACGGGATAGGGTCGTTTACCCCATGCCCAACCCTCCTCCTTTATCCGGGCTTGGGATCGACAGTAGCCCCAAAGGGGCTCTACGCGTAGCTATATTTTTATGAAAGTGCCATAATATTTAAACTTGAAGTACATTTGATTAAAAAAAGACGTTGAGAAAAGCTGGATAATATACGGTAGTAAATTGTTTCAATTTACCATAAAACTCTACATACAAAACTGAAAGTCAATCACTACGACAAAGTATTATAAAAAAAACTTTAAGGGCATTTATTTCGAGTTGAGATCATGAACCGATCAACGTTACACTATTATTAGAAATCTTAAAGCACTGATAACCGTTTCTTTTTAATATAGGGCTCCTAGACATACACCCATGTTGGGAGATGCAGACTACTCAGTTACGGTCCTCACGACGATCGTAATCAATGGTTGGAGACTCTTGGTGATACGGCTCAGAATCGATCACAATGGCGTCGGTGTATACACTCTCTGTCTTCCCTTAAACTATGAGATTAAAATCGTTTCACATCTTTCTTTCTATCAACTAATTCTTTCTTCCTGTACTATATCCTTATACAAAATCTTTATTTTATATATTTCCACCTCTGAATTAACTACTTTTATGAATTCGGTGTCCATCTTGTTGTGTTAATGAAGTATGAGAACTTGGACCGGTGCATATATGTGCCTGGTCCTACATTGTAGCCGACTAAATGACTGACTGAGACTTATACCCAGGACCTTCGATTTAGCGCAAACGCTTAACCTTTAATACATTACACAATGTTATTTGTTTAAAATGATAAACTTTTGTAATTTTTACATCATACATTACCTTACCTTTTTTCTAATTTCATATGGAAACTTATTCACAGAAATGGTTTAGAAAGACAAAATCGTATACTTGGATTTTTACAAGCTATTTATGATTATTCTAGACAAAATTTAAGTTTAATGGCTAATCGTTTTACTAAACTAACAAAAATTTGGTATATTGTAAATAATTTTCTAAGATCAAATAGTCGTTGGAGTATAGGTAAGTTCTTTTTATTATTATTATTTAATACCATTGTTGATTTTAAACATTGTATTCATTCAATTCAAGTTGTACATACTACTGTTGTGGTGTGTGCTACTTATATTGACATAAGTAGTAGATGATGTTAGTCAGGAACAGAATGTCCGGCAGCAGAGAGACAATAGGATCGAATATTAAAGAACAGAAACAGAATCCAATTTGTATGAAAATCCAAGAACAATGAAGTCCGAGTCATTATGAGACAATCGATGGACATTTTGCAAATTACGTATTTACTATTTGATTGTTAGATTTTATTAACAAGTCCTGTCATTTTATGTTGAATACATTCGATTGTCCCCACTGGTGTTCTTGTTCACTAAACTGTCATTATGATTCTTAAAATACACCTTGGAAAGATTATTATCTATAACAGTTGGTCAGTCAGTTAGCCAGTCAACAACAACGTAGAACTTCGTATTTACGTACATCAGTTCAAGTTGCCTTACCACATTTGCACAGAGATACAATTATCAATTCAAATCCCATAGTGGTAGACGTAGTGAGAGTAAGGAGTAATCGTAAAAGTTAGGGTTTGAAGATGTTATTCAAGGAGTATAATCCATTGAAATAAATTTGGAAAGAGAAAAAGAAAAGGAACATGAAGAATTCGGAAGACAAGAGTTTAAGAGAACTCAAAAAATGGATGCACCTGTGCCATTTCAAATTATTTTGAGTCATGTCATTCAAGGTCTCCAACGATTGGTTGCTATTGTCTCGCAGATCCCAACCAGGTAGTCTACATCTACCAACATGCTTCAGTCCACTTTTCAGTGAATTCATGGATTTATGGCATTATCTCTAAAATGAATTGATGAATTCATTGTTCGTTCAACATTCCATCATCTATTTCTTTAAAGCAACAGTAATGTTTGATGTAAACATTGAATTAAAAACAAATGAGTTGATAGTCATAGGTAAAGGCTTGCTGACTTACTTACTTACTTATT